CGGATGTTTTGACTCTTCTGTTTACACTAGCAAATCCCCATGCTGAAGTCTCTGTACCAGCCTTCTGCTCAAGCTGGACCAGTTACCCCCCTCCTTTATACAGCTCAGGAAACACAGCATAAAACTACTGCTTTGTTCTGTTCATCAATCGGGGAATCATTCAAAGATCATTTCATCCTCCAGCCAAAAGCAATTTCTGTCTGTGTATGTGCAAGAGACATCTAAGTAATACCACTCTCTTCTCTTCATATTCCCAACAGTCTCAAGACAACCCTACAGAAAAAAATGTCCAGCGACTCCGTCGACTTGTCTGGTATTCCCCTCTCGACCCGGGACGTCCGTCAAGTCGCCTTCTACCTCCAAAACAACAGAGACAGTGTGGTGGCTGTAGACATCAGCTTCACCGAACTTGTTGACGAAAATTTGAGGTTTCTCTTGCCTTTCCTCGCCTCGCTGCCCAAACTCAGCACCTTAGCCCTCAATGGCAACCGCCTCACCCTGGCTATACTCAAAGACCTCACCGAAATGCTCAAAGACCCCAAGAAATTCGCCAGCCTGGCCTGGATCGACCTAGGGAACAACATGGACATTTTCACCATGCCTCAGCCTCTGCTAGTCGCATTGCGCCGGCGCTGCAGCCTAAAGAGCAGCCTGCCGACTATCTACGAGTACACCGAGGGTCAGCCCTACTCCTACCACCTGGAGACATCCATTGAAGAGCCCAGCCACTATGAGGACGAGGAGGAAGATGAAGATGGGGAAGATGATGAGGATGATGTGGGGGACAAATTTGAGCTGGAGCCCTGGGGGTTAGGGGAGAAGCAGCTCTCCAAAGACTTTACCCTTCACTACTGTGAGAGGTGATGGGGTCGTTTTGTCTCCGAGGTTCTTTCAACTGTGGTTGAAACGTCGTCCCACAGCACTCCGCTACTTCCTTCGCCTTCTTGCCCTCACACCACGAGCCCAGTTACCCCTCAAGACATGAGGGAGACCAGTGCCCACATTGTGAACTTCTTGTCCCGACACAGCTACCAAGCTATTCCTAACCATCTCTGAGTTAACCCACACAAGATAGTGACAATGAAGCGACAGCCGCAGCGGCCATGACTTACTGTGTTGGTGGATGGTGCTCTTGGGAACGAGGTGCGGTTTCATTGGAGGGGGGGCTGGAAGGATTAACAAACCAGTGCTCTCTCTCTTTCTCGCTTGCTGTCTCTCTTTCTCTCTCTCTCTTTCTCTCTGTGACAGTGGCAGCTGAGAAGCCAATCTTGAGGAGGTTTGAGATCAGTTGCTCAGATGGAGGAGCAGCATCCCGGCGGTAGCTGAAGAGGAACTCGAGCCAGTTTGGAAACAGTGGGTCCCTCCGGGTTTCTCTACCAGGACTGAGTCTATCTCTGGCAGGCAGGGCCTAGCTCCACATTGTGTGTTCTCTGTTAATCTCTCAACAAAAGCTATGACACAAGTTCAACAGACTATACAGCCGACGACCCATCACGTGACGCCCGGCAAAACTGCTAGGTCGACTTTTTGCGTTTTCCCCCCCTTTCCAAATGTCCACTTGTGAATACCCACGCACACCCTTGTGTAGTTGTAAATGAGGACACAAAACATGGCTCTGTTGTGTTTCCACAGGCTATTTTTGTGCACTTTTCGGTGAACAAAGCAATCTTAGAAGACAACAGGTAGGACCAAACAATGGATAGCTGTCACTGATTGTTTTTGTACTCGCCCGAATGCTCTTATTCCCTTCTCTATGTGATTATTGAGATGTTGTGCTCATCCCCACTGTGTGTTTCAGTGCATTTGTGACACCACAGCCAGCTGTTCATGCGGGCCACTAAGTCAGAGCAGTGTCCAAGCTGCCCTTTCCTACTGCCGTGTGTCTCTACAGATATGTTGTCGTTCCCATTTATTGATGCTGTACTTTAGTGGTCCTGTGTTTTCTAATCAGCCATGACTGTTATCTATTGGTTCTAGTCTGCTTGTAGTAGCACATGATGTTTAAGTTAGACTGACCGAAACACTGCGATGCACTTTAAGGCAGTTTTTTTAATATATTTCAGTTTCACCATAGCATAGCCTCTGTGTACATCGATTATAAGCAGTGAAGCAGACAGCTGAAAGTATACCTGCAGACGGGGAAATGATGGCTCCTGATTGTTGAAGCAATCATTAAAAAATCATCACTAGATATATAATAAATGTTTGCTGTGTGTTATATGTGTGTATCCGTAATTTGTCCGATTGTTGCTGTAATGATTTGTGTTATTGTTTCGGTGTTTTGTCACTTGTCCAACTCAGTAGTTACAATAACGACTATGAAACTGAGCCCTGCGACCCGCTGTTAGCTTGAGCAATAGAGAAAAAAGGGAAGCGGCCGATGGGACAACGCAATAAAACAGAAAATAGATCAGTGAATGTAGTTCACAGTCAGAGCGGACACCTCTTTCCATGTCGAATGTTTACTGGGAGTAATGGAGAAGGCTGTCCACCTGGTTTGTAGTTTGTTTTCATGTGTCAATGTCAAACTCTTCCTTGTTGTAGCCTTTGTGTATCTGTCTCATGCCCAACACTGACTGCCAATAAATGAACCAATTCAAACTAAGAGCAGATGTTGGGTTTTATTTTAACAGTCAAAGTACACACCGAACAGCTGGAACATCTGGGTCACCAGAAGAGCCTGCACCTGACCCCCAAAAGGAAGATTTATTTATTTATGCAGATTAGACTGCAAATAGGGCAATCAAAGAAATCAGCTCAACCCGTGCTGTTTGGGATTGGTTATTGGAATGTCGTGCTTGTTTCCCAGCCAGCGGATCATCTGCGCTGCTGTGAGCTGTCAGGGAAATGCCTGAACTGCCACTGTTTGCCAGGGAAAAGCAGGGTGGTCATCGCATGAGGCCCTACCCATGATCCTCTCCTGGCAACCTTTTGTTCCTGCTGCCAGACATGGTAATGTGACATTTGCAGCAGGTGGCTCCTATAAGGTCAGGGCACAGTGTGACTGTCACACCCCCCGAGGTCCAAATACCATGTGACGGGGCAAAGCAGCCCACCCTAAAATTCACCAGGATCTTATCATCTGACCTTTTCCCTTCAGGATTGATTTATTTTCCTGTATTAGGAGTAAAATAACATTTTATCTGTGTTGCTGTGATTGATTGTGTGCTGTAGGTGTTCACTGGAAAGTGCGTCAAACTTTCGCTCAGCAAACGTCTCTGCTGAATGTATGAGTCAATGTTTGATCATATTATTTTGTTCCAACTGCTACAATGTCCCCCACAAAAAATTTCAAACTGATCTATGAGAAACAATATAGACAGGCTGCACAGACTACATTACGGTGCAGGGGAATGGATTTACAGAGCACACATCAATAACAGTGACCTCAGGTTGGAGGGAGAGACCAACAGCAGAAGGGCACATTGGTACATCCACAAAAAAGCCATTACTGCCCGGCTGTCAAACATCGACTGCGACCAGAATTTATTTTTTCCTTTTGTTTACTTTATTTTCAACTGTGTATTCATTTTTTAATCATTTTGGTTTTATAAAAAAAAAATAGAAACCAGATTTTCAATGCATCTATAACATTTTAAGGTAAAATTTCAAGTACTGACCATTCAACCATTTATTATAAAAATGAGCAACTTTGAAGATGTATCCATTACTATTATACACACAGGGAATATGTTTTGCACAAATGCAAAATTTTCATTTGATATATGTACATAAAATAAACAGTGACAAAGCAGCTCATGTGCAAAAGGTAAAAATGCTATGCATGAACAGCTATTTATATGTCAGACATAAGAACCTCTGATCCAAAAGAAAAAAAAACTAAAGTCCAAAGAAGCAAAAAATATTTAGTATTTCATTTTTTTTAAAGAATTTTAACTTCCTAAGATCTAAACTCTTTCATGGCATGCATTTTTAATTTCTCTTTGCTATTTGGGCTTTTTGGGACCTGATGAATGTAAAAAAAAGATTTTTTTTTTCCTGATTTTTGTTTCTGAGAAAAATGAGATCCACATAAGAGGACATTCGATTTAAATTTCGATAGAACAGTGGCAGTATAATGTCCTCGTAAGTGGATATCAGGCCCTTGTAGAGCAAAATTTAGTATTTTGGTCTAGACAAACCAAAATGTGATGTCCACTGATGTGGACACCATGTCCTAGTAGGTTAAATTGAATGACTTCACAAATGATGCCACACACCCTGCGACCAAATGGACGAATATCTCAATTTAAGACAACATTATGAATTAATCTCTATAGTCTGTTACATCTAGATTTTGTGAAGCTGACAATGACAATCGCACCAGTGTTGGTGGTTTAGCCTATTTAGTTGTAATTGTGAGTTTTACAAAGCCTGAATATACAAGTGGGACACGGGCACTGTGAAGTTAAACACTACAAAGTAGTGTTCTATTTCTAATGTGCCTGTCACCATTTTTTTGTTTCATCCATCTGAACAATCATGTGAAGCATAGTTTACAAAACATGTAATCTATAAGACTTAAAAGCAAGAACTGAGCCTATAAATCCACCACAATCGAGCCGTTTTCCCACAGATTTCTATACAACTGTCTCTAGCTGGCCCAATGCTTAGAAAGAACGCAGGTTTAAGTAATTATGTGCTTCTTTCACTTCTTTTATCTGCAGTCTATGTGAATGATTGTTTTTTTTTATTCAGTCTTTTGGTGCCATGTCCAAAATTTTGGCATCAAACAAAGAATATTTTTTGAATATCTGCATGATTGTGAAATTCTGGACTTACATCAACATTTAAGAGAAAGATTTGGCTCTTAAATATCAGACCAACTATTATCTTAAATTGGCTGATAAAAATTTAGATAATGAAATTCAATATCAATATATCCCCAATAATTTATAAAATATAATAACATTTTTTCAGTTTTTATGATGTATTTGTTTTCTTTGTACTCTTTTGGCTTTATGATTTGAACATTGAATTATTTTATCATTAAACTCAGTTTTGTTATGCACATGCCTGAAACACGAGTGTAGTATCATGTACCTTACATATGTATCTGTTGCTTTTACAACAGAAAACCTGAAAGAAATGCCAGAAAAGAGAGAAATGGCAGAAGTACCAGATGGTAAAATGTGTACAAATAAGCAGAAGAGTGAAAGGGGGGGGGGGTCAGGCACAGTCACAGATAAGGCTGTTGCCTCTTCTTGTGCAGCAAAATCCATCATGTTACTGTTAGAGTCAGTTGTGTCTAGAGGCCACGAGTTCAACTGCTACATGCTTCTGTAGGTACTCAGCTGAAGAAGACAGATAATCAGCATCTTGTTCAATGATTTTCCAGCAGGACAGACACCATCTGCTACAGATTTTGTGGTTTTGTGGCTGCACGAATTGGTATAACCTTAAAGCTATGCTATTAAACTAACATCCCTGGCTTTTGGCCTCAGTAACCAGCTGCTTTGCCTTTTTTCCTTTCATCAGACCATGCAGAGATACAGCTGTCCTCCTTTTCCACAGCGTTAACTACATTGTAGAAACGTGTTGCTGGTTGATGATTGTGTCCCTTTTTCTTAAGAGCCTCAATTACATCCTGAAGTACAAAGAGGAGAAGAGATTCCGATAGAACAAAAGCAGAATTTCTTATTGTGCTATCATTTAAATACACTGAAAATTTACACGTACCTTTTCAAAGTTGGGTTCAAACTTTACTGCATTTTCAGAGTCGACATAAACAACTGGAATATTAATTGCGTCCTTAAGGCTCTTTCCAAACCAAAGGTGGTTTATGAGTGCCTTGAAGAGAAATAGTAGAATACATTGCAGTCTTTCAGATGGGAAAGTAATGATTAATTCAATTCAATTCAATTCAATTCAATTCAATTTTATTTATATAGCGCCAAATCACAACAAATGTCGCCTCAAGGCGCTTCATAGATACAGA